TCATCTGATCAATAGATATGTTGAAATATTGAATTACGATCAATGATATCATACATATGGAAGAAGAAATAAAATAAACTAGAGTTTAATAAGATAATTGTTTTTTATTTACTTTGCAATTTATCTGAAGTAAGAGCATTTTGTTTATTGAGGTAAATGCCCTAATTAAATGGCCTGGATTTTAACACGTTAGTAACACCCCAGTCACATTTCCTACGGCGACCTTGCGGTCTATCATTTCTGCGGCCAGTAGCTTTTCTACGCTCGCCGCAGAATTTCTGCGCTCTCATACTTTTGCAGTCACATTTCCCACGGCAGCCGCACGGTGAATTTTAAATTTCTATTGATAAATAATAGTTTTTTCATTTTATTTACATCAGGACAATTTATAAATGTTATTCAAAGTGCTAGGATGTAATATCAAATGAAAAGTGATCGTGAAACATTGACAAATAATGATTCAATCTTGTTGAGCCAGTTGATTTCTACGGGGACCTCAGAAATGAACAAATATTATAACTCCGAGTTATAATTTCTACGCCTTCCCTGCGGCCTGTAAAAATCTGCATACGCCGTACGGAGGCCGCAAGGCGAGCGTAGTTTTTCTACGCTCGCCGCAGAAATTTGCCGATTTAATTGTTCTGCGGTCGACTTGCGGCCGCCGTGCGACAAATGTGACTGGGGTGTAAAGTGTAAAGAAATCAACTTTAAGTATATTGGCTCACCAGCTTAACTATTTAGGGAAATTATATATTTGTGAGTGAAATTCAACATAAGAAATAAGACATTGACGTGCACTGTCCGTGCTATTTTGTACTCCATGATTGTTCGGTTAATGAACATTGCTTGATTTAAAAGTGTATTTTATTTGACATGCGTTGTAAATATATGTGTCAACCGTCTTTGTTCGTGTGTGTACATGGACTTAAATATGTGGCATTTTACCAAACACTGAATAATATTAACCGCATATACAAGTGTATTTATCGCATATATAGGTAATAATAAATCAAATATAATTGTGTAAAAACAAATCCATTTATTATGTGTTTCGAATTGTTTTAAAAGAGTGGACAGGGTCGTAGCCAGCTTTCAGTCATGGGGGGATGGATCACCCGAAAATTTTCGGTTTTCAGTCAGAGGGTGCGATAGTGGCATAACAAGCCAAAAAGAAGATTTATTTTGAATTTTACTGAAATTGATGCAACTTCCTTCAAAACTGAGCTAAAAGCTTCAAATAAAAAGCATTTTAAAGAGATCGAGTCTTCCAGATTTATATTCTGGACAATCAGTAATGTCCCAATATAATTGCTCATAAAACATCATATATACCTTAGATATATCTTGAGACCAAATCATAAGCACGATATCTTCTTTCTCATGGCTTTATTTTTTATTGGTCATGAGGGGGGGGGTGCGATCGCATCCATCGCACCAAATTAAGTATCGGTCAGTCAATCTAGCGAGAAATACCATTGAACTACTTAGCAATGATAAGTAAATAATGGATAGGCAAAGGTCAGAATACTGGTTACGGGCAGTGATAATGTACATCACTGGTGATCCGCTCGATTACGCTAACCGTTTCGTTAACAAAATGTCGGAACGTCGAAGTTACGATTTTTTTAAAACTTTTTTCGCTTGTTGTAGGCAGAATCCCCACGACATTTTTTCTCACAAACGTATATCAGTATCATATGTTTTATAAAAGGTACATGTTTGCGAAAAATAGCTCAGAAGAAAACAGAATCGTCGATTTAATTCCTCACTTAAGTTACATAAACGTTTTGGGTTAAAAGTGCAGATCTTAATACCCTGCGTGCAGAGTCTAGTTAAACTAGAAGACGAAGCTCTCTTTTAAGAAGTGAAGTCAAACGAATGCAAAGGGTAAAAATAGCTCAGAAGAAAACAGAATCGTCGATTTATTTCCTCATTTAAGTTACATAAACGGTTTGGGTTAAAAGTGCAGATCTTAATACCCTGCGTGCAGAGTCTAGTTAAACTAGAAGACGAAGCTCTCTTTTAGGAAATGAAGTCAAACGAATGCAAAGGGTAAGATCTTAACTGTTTTTTCGAAATACCGTTGGGGTAACTTATGTGAGGGATTAAATCGACGATTCTGTTGTCTTCTGAACTATTTGCTCGCAAACGGTACATTTTCTTAATCATATGATAATGATACACGTCTGTGATAAAAATGTCGTTGGAATTCTGCCTACAACGTGTGAAATAAGGAAAAAAGAAAAATCGTGCCTTCGACGTTCCGACATTTTGTTACCGAAACGGTTCCGTAATCGAGTGGATCACCAGTGTAAATGTAGATCTGACACGTCTTTACCTCTTGTTCGAACAGTAAGCTTAGAGTTGAATGTGTTTCAGTATTTAATCCTTGTTATCAGAATGGGATACAACATTTGAATTCCACACAAAAACTTAAAAGCTAATACTGAGCTCATATATTACACTTCATAAATTCTAAGGAATCGTCACCGTACAGCAGATGCGTCACGGCGCAGAATTGATCTTTTTTAAATATAAACAGTGAATGATTATTTGCAAATCTTCATCCTTTCTAAATGTGAAAAACAACATTTTTCTCAGTCGAGTCGATTAAGTGGGCCGATCCAGTCAGAAAAAAATCCGAGCAAAAACTTTTATCATAATTATTTTTAAGAGAATGCTGTTTTTAATACACCCGAAATCGTATTTATTTTCATATAATTATTTTTTTTAAAACCTCCATTATAGTTTTTGCATCAACTTAGTTTATTTTCGTCACCGTACAGAAAACTGTACTACTGTATTTTTGACGCTGTACGGTGACGCCTGCTTACGCGATGGTTAGACGTGCAAGCTTTAAAACGTCGGATTTCCCAAGAATTTTATGACATCAATTGACACGGTTTCGAGAATCTCTGAGTGATCTAAAACCGGGAATAATTGGTATCGCAAGAGTCTTTCAAATGAAGGCAATTATTTCCTGAGATATCGTTACTTTTCCATTCGAAAATTATGTTAAGACGTGTCGCAAAAAGCTCGCGCACGCATTGTTACACATTTTGTAATCCAGAGGATCCTCGCTTTTAACATGATAGAATGTGACGTTTTTGAGAAAAATGTACACACATGAAAATCCTTTCGTCCTCCACATTTACCTCTATATCTCAAAACATTTTAGACGAATAACTCTGATATCATATATATATTGTTAATGGGCTAGGAGCATCATAAAACACGAATCAATTGATATTTTAGGTGAAATAAATATACGTGTTGCTGTGCTTGAAAATAGGCGAATAGGCCCTATTTTAATGAATTTTGAAAACCTTTCGTCCTCCACTTTTCCACATACAACACAAAATACATACTTTTGTGAACAAAATCAACTATTTATTAATAAACTAGAGTTTAGGAGCAAAATAATCATGTATGATTTATTAAAAATTGATCTCGTATTTTTTGTTTAATGTACACCTGAAAAATTGAAGGTACCAAAAAATGAGCAAAAAAGGTCGCTGTCAACAGATTCTATTTTTCAGACTCTATGACGTCACAATATGGGACGCTTACTAAAATTCATCCTTTGAAATAAAACTTCCATCTACCTTTATCAAGACGAAAAATAAGTATAATAGTCATATATTGTTTGAGTTATGAGCGTTTAAAGACGAAAAATAATTCAAAATGTAACTTGTCAACATGGGATATTTGCCAGATGTTTTGGTAAAAAACTCTTTTTTAAAAACGAACGCGCAAAAAATGTGAACGGAGTGTAGTTGATCTAAAATCTTCATCGAAACAGCTTTAAAATGATATATAACTTTAATTAGAATATTATCTTATAATCCGGGGAATCAAAGTTACATTCACGCGATACCCTTAAAAAACAAATGCGCCACCTTTTTGCGACACGTCTAACGGAATACAGAAACACGGAGAAAAAGAAGTTAAAATTTAACCAGACTAAACTTATGTCCTCTGACAGGAAGCTTCGCCTCCACAGTCTTGATTTGATTTAGGGCAGGCTAACAACTTGATATCTGTGACATCGGAAAAATCTCTTTTTCTGTTGGTTGCAAGTCTATGCTTTGCCCACGGCAATGGAATGGGAATGGGATTCAGCCATCTTGGCTTCTTTTCACCTTAATGTCTTTGTGTTACCGCTTCCAATCAATGTCCTTTTTATTTGTTTACTATAGCCAGTGCAATACAATTGTTCCTATACCAAAAGACATTGTTACTTGAAAGTGTGTTAAAATATATTTTGATGGTGTGTTAGAGGAAATGCTATTTTCTCAAATTATCAAATATCGTTGTTTCCTTGTTATTCTAAATAGAATTGACTTAGTCTAGCTACCTACAACTCCATGCCCGCGATAATATGGTTTGACAATGGTTCATTTAAAGGGACAAAGTGCGTACATGAAGTCTCACTTGTGATCTTCATAGTATTTCCAATGGATTTATAAGTACCTGATCTTTCATTGGAGACCAAAACCGGCTCAAACAGACCACATCAGGGTTGACACTAGATCATGAAAAAATATTTTTGATCTATCAATTTATAGATGTCAAGTTTTTAACAATGCCATGGAAAGATGGCATTGTTGTTTGTATTAATTGTCCATTCATTTTTGATAGCATTTTCAACCATACGCCATATTTGAGTCAAAGAGTTATTGAAAAACATACACTTTGTGAAAAGTGGTAATTCACTTCTGTTGATCTCTGAACTTCAAATGCTGTTTTCTATGCGAGTAATTTTTTTCACTTCAGTATTGACCCAAATTAAAGTTTTTATCATATTTGATTGACTGTTTGAGTGACATGTCTCAAATAATATTTTGTCCTTTTCCTTCAAAAATAAGCGCATTGCCTGTTTAATACACAGATTATCCCTACATTAAGCTTAAGCTTATGTGTATGCCAAATATATGTATATAAGCTATACCTTACATGTATATTCATGTACCGTGTATAAGCTTAACTCTTATTCCTACATTCGCATCTCACAAATAAAATACCAGGAGGTAAAGGTAACGAATCCTGGAAATCACTTAACACATTATTTGATGATATTAAACATAAACGTGCTGTTAAATCAAAAATAAATTTAACAGAAAATGATGCTTCAAACATAAAGTCGAGTGACATCAGAGTATACGTAATTTAGGAAGGCAAAATTTGGAATTAACCTTTACTTTGGAAAACATCATGGACAATGATACATGTAGCAAGGTCAGAAATGCTGATGGAGTGATAGATAATGGTGGGATGAAAAATGGTAATTGTGTGATAAATAAAAAGAAAATTATGCTAAATAAGTCTGATAGTCTGATGAATAATGACATTACTAGGGGTAATATCATTACAAGTGGTTTTCAGAGACTAGAAAATGGCAATGGAGGAAAACATATTCGTAGTTTATGCTGTAAATCGTTCAAATGGAAGGCTGCACTTGTGCAACATTACAAAATTCATACTGGAGAAAAGAACTTCAAATGTGATGTTTGTTCTAAAACATTTACACAAAAGGCTCATTTAAACATACATTATAAAACTCATACTGGAGAAAAGAACTCCAAATGTGATGTTTGTTCTAAAACATTTGAACGAAAATCTAGTCTGAAGTTACATTACAGAACTCATACTGGAGAAAAGAACTTCAAATGTAATGCTTGTTCTAAAACATTTGCACTAAAGTCTAATCTTACCAAGCATTATATAATCCATACTGGGGAAAAGAACATCAAATGTAATGTTTGTTCTAAAACATTTACACGAAAGTCTAATCTTACCAGACATTATATAATTCATACTGGAGAAATGAACTTCGAATGTGATGTTTGTTCTAAAACATTTGCACGGAAGTCCTATCTTGAGTTACATTACAAAACTCATACTGGGGGAAATAACTTCAAATGTAATGTTTGTTCAAAACATTTGCACGAAAGTCTGATCTAAATAGACATTATACAACTCATACTGGAGAAATAACTTCAAATGTGATGTTTGTTCGAAAACATTTTCACAAAAGTATGATCTAAGCAGACATTATAGAATTCATACCGGAGAAAAGATATTCAAATGTGATGTTTGTTTCAAAACATTTGCACTTAAGTCTAGTCGTGACAGGCATTATATAATTCATACAGGAGAAAAGAACTTCAAATGTTGTGTTTGTTCTAAAACAATTATGCTTAAGTCTATTCTTGACACCCATTATAGAACTCATACTGGAGAAAAGAACTTCAAATGTAATGTTTGTTCAAAAACATTTACACGAAAGTGTCATTTTAACAGACATAATAGGATTCATACTGGAGAAAAGAACTACAAATGTGACGTTTGTTCTAAATCATTTGCACAAAAGTCTAATCTCAATAGTCATTATGAATTCCATACCAAAGAAAAAATTAAATGTTTCATTAATATATAAATTACTCATAGCTGCAGTAGAAGGTAGCTAGGCATGATGTAGCATATTCGAATTCCAATCAATCATAATCGTACAATACAATATCGTGGCCATGAGATAACTGTCATTATTTGTTCTTTACTTCCAGTTCTTTTTAAAATGGTTGCCATATTCTTTTCTTTTTTAGTCAAATTGATTTAGTGTCCAGTAACGTCCAGTAACGTCCTCATAGTCTTAATTTACTTATACGATACAGTAAATAGGGACATGTTTCCTTTTTCATCCCAGCACTCATGGGTTTGTACTCAGAGATAATTCTTACAAATACATTTATTTATTTACAATAGATATACAAATTGTGTAACTCTGTAATGATTGTGAAAATCTTAGCTCCCCCCATCCACAGGACGCATCACACTTGAAAATTTTGATTTTGAATATGACGAACATCATGAGGCATTACATTTATTAATCAATTTAAGAAAGATTTATGGTAATAGCTCTTCTGAATCCTAGAAGTATGCAGAATGCGGAAACTGGGTACGCTATGGGGCAACATTGATTGTCAATTTTTATTTACTATTTTCGTAGACACACCATTTTCAACCAGGAAATGGCCATGTATTGCAGGACAGAGAGAAAGGTGCAGGATAGCAATGAATGTAACAGTAAAAATGTTTTGGAACCTTTAAAATGAACAAATTCTAATTCTAACAAACATATCTGAGTGAGTGCTATATAAGATCATTTATCCGATGTACACTAAATACGTATATATGGGGATACCAACACAAGATAATTTTCGTATACGCCACTAAAATCGTATCCGATCCATATGACGTGATATCCAATCGGTCGGATACTATTTTAAAAAACATTTTGGAAAAAAATATTTGAAAATTTTGAATTTTTGAAAAAAAATTGAAAAAAAAGTTTTGAAAAAATTGAAAAAAAAAATTGAAAATTAATCTGAAAAAAATTTGAAAATAAAATTATAGGAATAAAAAAAATTGGAAACAAATTGAAAAAAATATTTGGAAAAATTTGAAAAGTTCCAAGGTTATGCTCAGTAAAAATGAGTTACATTTTTTCATGCAATCATTTTATAAAAATAAGGTCAAAGTAAAAAAAAAATAGAATAGAATTAGAAAACAACAACTTTAGGTCAAATTATTTAAAGTCCATAAAAAATAGCGACCATCGGATAAATATGATATTCTATGATTTTCTCGGCTAACATTTTTACCCACTCTTGGATATCGCCGATCTCCACTCATTCGCTGCACTCACTCGTGGAGATGAGCGATATCCTCTCATGGATAAAAATGGTATCCCTCAAAAATCATAGGATATCCTCTATATATTTACTTAGCTTTTCCGGGTTAATCTGTTATATTCCTTAACTTATAGGGCCCAATTTTTGGATTTTGGGGCCCAAGAAATATTTTTTCTGAATTGAAATTTGCCCCGCCTTGTTACATGTAGCTTCTGGATCCGCCAGTGGTAGCTGATGGGACTTTTTAACGTATTTGACAATTGGCTGAAAATTCTTTTGTTTACCCCCCTATCACACCAAACTATTTCTTACCCGTTCTTGCCAGTCCTACGAAAACGTCGAAAAACGGGCTCAATCTGGCTGTGGTCGGGAAATATGCCTAAAATAATTAGCTACTTCGTTCATAAACAGTCTTCAATACGTCCATCTCATTCGCAGTGCGTTCAGGTCGCACCACGTCGGTGTGCAACGTCGTATAACGCGTCCCTTAGTCTAGAAGGTCATCATGACCTGATTACAGAACGTTATGGTCGCCATCGATTTTGAATCGATTCAAAATTCTAAATCACATTCCCCGTCCGGGAAAGTCCATGAAGTTCGTAAACAGACCGGAGAACGTTGTAGCTACGTTCATTCAGTTCTCACACAGTTTAAAACCGATTCGGCAATGTTTTGACGATCACCAGAAATTTTGAGCATGCTCTAAGTTCTGGAGGACCTACTCGTTCTAGTAGTTTCATGAAGTTTGTAAACAGATTCCAAACGGTTCTCAGTGGGTTCTTAGTACGTCAAATCCGTTCGTACACAGTTTAAGCCCGTTTTCGAGAACGTAGTGAGAATTAATTTGGTGTAATAGTAGGGTAAGGCACTTTTATAATACAATGAAGGTCACTGCATGCCAAAATGACAAAAACAGTGATTTGAGAGCAGCAGGGCAGCATATCTCAACAAATAATATGCTTAGATTCATTCACTCTGCAGGTTTTGTCAAATGAAAATGGATAACGTGAAGGTAGACATTATCATAAAGAGCATAATCATGCTTCTATATACACAATGTAAAATATAGGAAATACTTTGCTCTAATATTTGTTCTAAAACATTTTCAAGAAAGGCTCATCTTACCGGGCATTATATAATTCATACTGGTGAAATGAACTTCAAATGCGAAGTCTGTTCTCAAACATTTGTCTGAAAGTCTAATCTTTATTTACATTACAAATCCCATACTGGAGAAAACAACTTCAAATGTGATGTTTGTTCAAAAACATTTGCCAAAAGTCTGATCTGAACAGACGCTATAGAATTCATACTGGAGAAAATGAAGTCAAGTGTGATGTTTGGTCGAAAACATTTGCACAGAAGTCTGATCAAAACCGTCAGACATTGTAGAGCTCATACTGGCGGAAAGATCTTCAAATGTGATGTTTGTTCTTAAATATTTGCACTAAAGTCTAATCATGTCAGACATTATAGAATTCAAATGTTATGTTTTTTCTAAAACATTTTTTTATATTGTATTTCTTTATTTCAAATTATTACAATAAACAAATACATTAGCGGCTTTGTAAGGTACATTACAAGCCACTTTTAGGATGATGATTCACAAAACTAGGTCTGCAAATGATCTGATGGATGTATTCTTGCAAGAGTAGTATGAGTATGAACACTTTACTGTCTATGCCACACCTGTCACGCCTTCTTCCAATAGCCCCTATGCCCCTTGTACTGACTTTTGCAATGTTTAAAACTTGGGTCCGAGCTGAATTTTGCCCCACTTTGCAAAATTAATGATTATTCGGCCAGCCATGACTCCCTGTGAATGAATGATATTCCATTGCAAAGAGGAGTAGTTTGGCTTTTTGGCACATGGAATGAAAAGGATGCAATAGCATTGGTTTTATGTTTTCTTCCAATATTGCATCGGGCTCCGGACACTGACTTTTGCAATATTTATAACTTGGCCCGAAGCTAATTCTGGCCCACTTTGCAAATGGAATGATTACTCTCCCAACCATGACCAAATATCAAGACACATATCTTTATGGTGCAATGAAAGAAAGCAATGCTTATCACTGGTTTTGTGCTTTTCCGAGATAACAATCTGTTGCGTATTTTTTGATACGCACTGTATTTGTACAATTTATGTAAAATGTCAAGAGTTTAACCCAATGTAATAATTGTGACCATTTTAGACCCCCCTCTCCTCATTCACAGGACGCACTCCACTGCTTATAGCGTTCCTGAATCCTGAATATTTTGATTTTCGAACATGATGAATATAGATATTACATTTATTTATCAAGTTAAGAAAGTTTTACGTTAATATATCTTCTGAATCCTGGATGTATGTAGAACGTGATTACCCTATGGGAAGCATTGATTGTCAATTTTCATTTACTTTTTTAAATTGATTTTAAATCTAAAATGAACAAATTCAAACAAACACATCTGAGTAAGGTGATATAGATCTTATATTTATTTAGCTTTGCCAAACTATTCTGCACTAAGAATCTGAAGAACAGCATGCATCATAAATTAATATAATATAGGAGTACAATGTACATCACTAATGACAAAACAGCAATTAAGAGCAGCAGGGTGGCACTCGGTATATCCCAACAAATAATATGCTTAGATTCAATGCAAGTTTTATCAACTTTCTGGAAGTGGGTAATGTGAAGGGAGCCATTGTTCATACAGGTCCGTAGCAAACCCCCCTGGCCAAAATCATGCAGTTTCATTCTGATTTTGGCCATTTTTGGACCAAAATTGTCACAAGTGAACCCCCTGGAATTTTTCAAAAAGTGAACCCCCTTGGCAAATCCTGGCTACGGGCCTGCATGAAGAGCATAATATTGCTTCTATATGCACATAATATTAAAGTAAAATATAAGAAATAGTTTGCTTTCCAATAGGTATGAACAGTTAACCCTGTGAAGTTGTACACTTTCCATGTGGACACCATTTTGTAGTTACTAAGGTGTTCCACTTTCACAGGTTTTACCGTTCATATCTATTTACAGGGATTGGAAAGCAAAATATTCAATTGGCATAAAATCTGAAAATTGATTACATATTTTTCAGAATTAGAGTAGCTTATGGATGGTTTTAACGTGTTAAGCTTCATTATGTAATTTGAATCCATGATATCCCTCTCAAATAATATTTGTTGGGATAATAAAAACATAATAACCAAAATCAACATTTCAATCATTTATCTGATGTAACCTTTTACTAATATGTTCACAAATCATACAATAAAAATAAATAATTTGACAATCAAATGTTTTCAAGTCAAGATATTCTGAATATCTAAATACCTTACATGTTTGTGTATACTGTACGAAAGTTTTATTCTATTACATGACTCAAAGGCCTGTTATATGGCTGGATGGAAAGAAAAACCCCAATATATACACTTGAAGAACAAATCACAAAACTTGGGGTATAAATGCTTAATTATAGCTGATCATAAACTACTGGCCTCAAAAAGGGAAAATAGACAAAGCTCAATTTGATTTAATAAATACTTGATATATTTGCCTAACTAGGCTTTGGTACATGTTTTAAATAAAATTCAAACTTTCCCCTAGTATTTACACTTTGTTCTACACAATATTTCAGGTGACGAGGATTTAATATCCTTTAAATAAACTATAGAACATTAGGAATATGATTAGTTTGGTTCCTTTGGCTGAGATGTTAAAGCAAAGCCTGGTTACATTCAGCGTATATTGTTGAAACAATATAATATGGCGTTTGAGTATTGGCAAATAGGTTTTGATGCTGATCAATATGTACATCAAAATGGACATTTATATAGATTTGATGCAATATGGAATTTAACTGACATGATTCATATATCTCAACAAGTTTGTTAAACTACATGTCACAACTGACCCTTTATATCATAAGACTTATTAGTCTTATTAAGGTAGTTCTGCACCAAGCCCCTGTGCCAAATGCCTCTACTATGTCTCTATATACAGCCTAGGAAGATAGATACTGGCGACATATATATTTAGAGAGGGGAAGAGGCACCATGTAAGTCTTCACACAGACACAGAATGTATTCTTCTCTGCCCAACTTAATGCCTTAATATGTCAATGCTACTAGAGTCAAAGTAATTACTTGCTTTAATTTAATTGTTATTGAAACTAATAACTATTTTGAATCTTGAAACTCCAAGCAGGCAGGCAGACAGGTATGCTACAGTAATATATACTAGCATAGTAAGTTTCTAGTCTGTTATGTGTGTTATGTTGCATTTCAAGAATCCAAAGTTGAAGCAGATGATCTAGCATGTCTTATACCAGGACAAGATTGATTGTAGCTGTAGTTTTGATGCATATCATCAAAACATTGATGTGGCTTTCCAGAGAGAATGCACAATTGCAAAATGACATCGACAGTTTGACCCCACCCCTTAATGTAGATATCATCATCCTTTAGCGCAAATATCCCAGCCCTTAGTGTATCTATTTACATTTGTGTTGAATTAGATATACTGAAGTAAAGCTGGTTTTGACTAGAGTATGCAAAGGCCTAATATGCCATGATATAATAAACAACGGGTGATCAAAAAGAATTGGGCAAATTTTACACTTTTTTGTCACCTCTTGTAAATACGGTAGCTTGAAAGTTGAGTAATGTGACCAATGAAGGAAGGATCAGGTGAAAATACTTCGACAACTTATCTGAATATGTGTACTATGTTACCTCATGTATACATGGAGAATCAAGACCCTTCAGATAATTCATCTAACAATGAACTTAATCATGATTTAATTTTAACGCTCTAAATCCACCAGATAAAGATTGGAGTGGATCTCTCAGTATCTATTTGCTATTCAAGAAAAGATGATTAAAAGATTCTTACCCCATTAATAATTAATAATACGGACAGGAGTTGTGCACTCATGTGGCAAACACATCAGAGACAATGATAGTTTTTGCCAACTTCTCATGCTCCTGACCCAGAGGGCGCTGATGTGGGTGAGATAATCTTTGACCATGAACCCGTGGCAACTTATGACAATGGTATCTGCTCAATCTCATTGTAGTTGATGAGGTCTGTACTACTCTGAGGGTCCCCATGACACCATAACCCATTTCCCATAACTGTGATAGGAATATGAAGCATAATATTATTACAAGCTTAGCCCCTTAGTTCACCCCATATAACTCTTCTACTGTTTCAAAATACATCTTTATATCTTACATGTCTTATCTTCCTCCTTTTTGACATTCTGTATGAATAGAGCTATTGAAATGCCAAAATACTTTGACCTGCAGGTCTACCTGAAGCAAAGTCTTTAAAATGATCAAGAAATTTTACAAAAACCTGAAACAAACTTGAATAATTGTTTTTAAGAGATTCTTCAGGTAAAATATACATACTACCAGAGATCCTGATAATAATAAATAATATCCCAAGATCTGCAACGTCAATTTTATATTGAGGTATTAATGTACGCTGTACACATGTACAATCATTTCATTTCAGTCAGGAATAACATTTCTATGAACAGCCAGACCCCCCCCCCCACCCTCTTGATATATTTCAACCAAATGTACATAGGAATAATGCATGAAGGTAGACTGAGGTAAGGATTTAACATGATGTCAACACTTATTGGTCAAGGGGTCTGAATATTATGTGATGGAGATCCATCAGCATTTTTTATTTCTCAACACTAGGCACCCCATGTCATTGTAAACTATATATGTTTATAATCATATTTCAAAAATAAAACAATATTCTAATATGAAAAATTGAACTTCAAAACTCATTACATCCCCCTTCTAAAAACCCTCTTCCCAAAACACACCCACATTTAGGATACTGAACAGTCTTAAATCAAGGCCTACTAAACCCCCAACTCCTCCAAAGAGCACACACCTATCTCCAGATGGCTAGAAGTATGAGAGTAAGAAGACTGGTGTAAAACTTATATCCAACAATGTATGTGATTTAAACCTTGTTGACACCATGGTTAGGCATACACCGAGTCATTTCCAAAGCATATACATAAATTCTACAGTATATACTACTGTTACTTTTATATTACTATATTATACACAGACTTCTCCCTTGGATTTTTCCACAGGTAGATGCAAAATTTTCAAAATCTGTCAAAACATGCCCATTTTTCATGTTTTTTCTCATTTTCAAGGAGGTGCTAATGAGTTTAAGATGTAACTCTAATTTCAGAATCCCAAGAAGGTGCAGAGAGATCATATTCTTTAATGCTGGGAAAATCATCAACTTATGCACCATTCAAAGGTTTACGTGAGACCCCCCTATGTGAGCAGCTTCAGGAATTTGACACACAGCATTGTCCCAAGGGTGGGATTTTGACTTAATACCTCATCTCAGAAGCAGGATTTTTGAATTTTGACCAGCTATTATTGCTCTCAGAGGGAAAATCTGACTCTCTTCCCGCGTAGATAGGGGGAGGGGGTCTCATATAAACCATTGAATGGTGTATTATGATCATGGATGACTACAGTCTATATGCATCTCCTTGCAAATGTTCACATTTATTTGAATCAACAGTATTTTGGTAACAGTCCAAGAATTATATTCAACTTTCATGCTTCAAAATTGATGTAAATAAAAATCCCTTTGTTATATCATCAATTTCTAAATCTAAACTGTAAGGCTTTTAATAAAGCAGTTGTTAATAAGCCAGGTCCAGATTTCAAGGGCTGTGTCTTATATGTCAATCTTAAAGACTAACTAACGATATCTGAATTTCTTTATACAATCATTGCCTAGATCAACCACGACTACATGGTGGTCACTGGTGCAAGCTAGTCCACTAGGACGACGCAGCTTATCATCTATACTGTCTATTGCAAACAACAACTTCCTATTGGGTGAAAAAACCTGGATTACACTTTTACCCTTTTCCGACTGCGTTGCAAGGATATAGCCGCTTGAATCTACAGTAACTCCCCCATATTGGCCCTTGACTTTGGTTTTACTCTCATTGACTATTTCTTGGAGGAATTTTCCTGTTTTGTTGAAGATCTGAATTCGATGATCGGTGACTAAGATTTCATCGTGTTTGCCAATCGTGACTGAAGTGATCAATTTAAGCTGTCCTTGTTTATCTCCCTTGCTTGCTATCTTGTTAATCATTCTCCCTTCACTATCAAACATGAACAAACGACCAGCACCATTGTCTGCAATGATTATCTCCCCAGCACTGTTCACAGCGACATCTATTGGTTCAACCAGTTCTGGCGATGTGAACTTGTTCACCATTTCTCCATCTAAATTCATCTCTGTTATAAACTTTGTGCGCCAGTTGACAACGACTATGGTATCCCTGGGAGTCATAGCAATTCCCGTCCCACTTTGGTTTTGTAAGCCTACACTGTTGACGTGGCCTATAAGGGTGCCATCTTCCTTAAGGACTTTGATACGACTATTACCAGTGTCCAGCACGTAGATGTTGTTCTCTTTATCAACGCAGACTCCAACTGGTTGAGTGAAGTGGCAGCTCCCAGAGCCCCGGGTCCCATACTTCAACACTGGGTTATTATGGGTGCTTGACTCTATCAGGAATGGGCTTTCCTTAATTGGCCTATCAAATATGCTCACAACTAACTTATGCCGGCCTGCGGTTGTAGTTGTGAATGTGATTGCATATGTGCCATCTTCGTTATCTTTTATCTTAGTCTCTACATTCTGGCCTTGTTCGGTTTTCAGAATTGACACAACTGGGTCTCCTCCCGTTGTGCGAGGACTGCCATGGAGGTCGACTGTGTTAACGAGCACAGTGTTCTTGATATGTGTCACAGACTTCCCAACCTTAGCAGTACTCAGGGCAGGGAAAGTTGTGCTGATTTTGATACGACCGTACTGACCTAAACCCTTGACGATATCCTTCAATGCTGTGTTGTGCTTGTACTCATATTTTATGAATGCATTTTCACGTGGTTCACCTAATGTACTAGTGCTGTCCAGTTTCTCATTGAGATCACTTATCTTCTTTGTAATATTGCGAACCTCTACTTGGTACTGAAGTCCATTGCACTCACTCTGCACTTTAGTTTTCTCTGCTTGAATCATGTTTAACTGTTCCATCAATCCCTTACGTTTTTCATCGCGAACTTTACGTATACGTTGGAGAACATCGTGACGTCTGTTCTGCATCATCGAGATGAGTTCTTCGAATGATCGGTTTGCTGTGTCTAGGGTTTTTTCGACGTTGTATTCAAGTTTGCGTAGTTCATCATTCACATTATCACTGGCACTGTTGAGGTTTTTGATACAGAGGCTGGCTTTATAGAGGAGGATTTCAGACATGCGCTTGATGGCAATAGAAAACGGGATGACAGTGTGCTCGCTAGCACCACGTCCATTATGCTCACCACCAGAGCATACATTACAGAATACTTTATCGCAAGTCTCACAAAATAATAGTTCCTGTTCGTTATGCACAGAACACTTCGGGATAACATCCCGTCGTTGACTAGCCATGAGATCGAGTAGCTGATTCACAATAAAACTTGGTGGGAACGATCCAACTCCTCCGCGAGGAATTGGGATTGTCTCACGACATATTGGGCACCTAAATGTTCCTGTATCTAATGTCTGGGCTTCACAGATCCTAAACAAACAATTCTTGCAGACAGTGTGAGAGCAGGGAAGCAGCTTGGGAGTATGCTCTTGGTTGTCGTACATACACAGACACGTCCCACAAGTGAGAAAACTATCGTTGAAGTCCTCATAGTTTATAGACACAGTTTCGACTAGAGTTGACGTCATACTACCACCCACGTTCACAACTGACATGTAGAGCTCCTGGAACAGAAAAAAATACAAATTGATTTTAATATTACAGTACTTAGAACAAAACAATTACATAATTCTATTAAATCCAGCTGAGAAGTGCTTATACGTGTACATTTAAGGTCCAGATTATGACTTAAACAATTTTTTTACATTTAGTTTTTAGTAAAACTTCCTTAACCCAGTTTTTTCTTTTTTCTCCTCAAGTGGGTTATTCTAAAAAAAATGACAACCTTTACACTAGAAATTGTAGATTCTCACATAGGGTCTTTAAATGGTTATATTTACGCAATGAAAAGTTTCCCAACTCCTGACCCAAACAAACCCTCATATACAGCCCACTGTTTCTGTTACTGGAAAGTCGCAAAGCAATTGAAAACATTTCACAACTGAATTCTCTTTCTTATATCATCACAATTTGGGTTTGCATGCTAACATGTAATTAGTAGACTATAATAGACTTATCAATCCTAATCTTATTCAATATCCCTTAAGGACAGGATAATGTCATTCTTTTTAGATTATCTTTTTTCATGCCTTATATGATTTACATTCATTTAATTGACAGGTGATGTGCTGCAATGTAATTTTGTATTTTATCGAACCATTAAGTCAATGTTTATCTATCAGCTGTACTACTTCAAAAGCCAATAACATATTGAACAGTACTGTTAAAAGCACATAGGAGAAGTATTGATTATCTTTAACGGCACTGACCCTGAATTTGACAGCATTCTTATTATTAACTGTGTATACATTTAACATGTTCATCTGGGACCTCATACATATGCTCAGCATATTTATAACTATTATACATGCACTTTTACATGAATGTTATTTTTCTTGACATGTTTGACTTACACATATTTGATTTAAAGCTACATATCTTACTTACAGCTAAGCATAAGACTTGCAGCTTAGTCTGTGACATCCAGCTATTACTAAACCTACAGCTAGGCATATCACTTACAGCTTAAATTGACGAACAGCTTAGTATCTGACTTACAGCTAAGCATAAGACTTGCAGCTTAGTCTGTGACATCCAGCTATTACTTAACCTACAGCTAGGCATATCACTTACAGCTTAAATTGACGAACAGCTTAGTATCTGAATTACAACTAAGCATAAGACTTGCAGCTTAGTATGTGACATCCAGCTAAGTATCATTACTTAACTTACAGCTAGGCATATCACTTACAGCTTAAATTGACGAACAGCTTAGTATCTGACTTACAGCTAAGCATAAGACTTGCAGCTTAGTATGTAACATCCAGCTAAGTATCATTACTTAACTTACAGCTAGGCATATCACTTACAGCTTAAATTGACGAACAGCTTAGTATCTGACTTACAGCTAAGCATAAGACTTGCAGCTTAGTATGTGACATCCAGCTAAGTATCATTACTTAACTTACAGCTAGGCATATCACTTACAGCTTAAATTGACGAACAGCTTAGTATCTGACTTACAGCTAAGCATAAGACTTGCAGCTTAGTATGTGACTTACAGCTAAATGTAAATTAATTACAGCTTAGTATTTGACTTTGAAATCTTACTTACAACTGTGGATCTGACTTACAGCAAAATACTCCAACTATGATCAACGCATCAGTGAATCCGTAAACAACCATATGTACAGCTTGCTCAGATTTTGGATCTCATTGAATTATATCATTTTAACATTTCACGAGTCTTCTCAGAAATCATTTTCATAAATGAGAGACTCAGTAATGCAATTCTAATATATGCAAGGAAAGTTATTTGGAAATGATTCACTATTAATACAATTGATAGATTTTCAAGCCACTTCATACATTATGCAAGAAAGCCAAATAAAGCAGTTGGTTTAGTGTTTAATTTGGGATTTGGAGAATGATTTAAAAGTTGGCATGTCTGACAAGCTCTAACTGAAATATATCCACTTTTTATTCTCAACCCTCCTTCATGTATCAATTCCTTCCTGCCTTTATAGCATTCATCATCTCTCCAATATTTGCTTCTACGTCAGGTCAAACCCTTCTATATCAACTCCCCTCTCTTATTTCAGCTCCTCCCTCCCTATATTATCCACGACCCCACCCTCTTTTCCAGCCCCTTCTTCCTCTTACAGCCCCTCCCTCCTATATCAGTCCCCTCTCTAAATCAGGCACTTTCTCCTGCAAGGTGTGTCCAATTCAAGCCAATCAGAACAGGCTATTTCATGTATCAAATTGCATTGGAGACACACAACCATTAGATCCTTCCGCCGAGTGGGAAGACGAATAGATGGCATTATAAAAACAAAAATATAGTCCAATTATTGTAATTACATTAGCATCACCAGTGGTTGGATTTTGGTAAGTACATGAATGAAAAAGTGTATGTGTGGACCAACTCTGAGACATGATTTGATGTGATTAAGGTGCATTTTCTTTTAAAAATTTGACCTTTTTGACCTGCCTCCATCTGTCAAAATCAGAATGACATTTTTTGACATTTTCTATAGATGGCGTCTTCAACAGGTGAGATCTTTTGATTTTCGTGGGGAGTTTTGATTCAAACTTTTTTGACTGACAGAGGACATACTGGGGTATGATGCAATGATAGCAAAACATGTCCACAAATCTTAGTTTTCTCTTGAAGACAGATTGTTTGTATGGGAATACGCATGTTATAACAATTAGTTGGGTTAACCCTATTATCACCCATTCTGGAGTACCACTTTTTTTTAATTTGGTCATATTTCTCAACTATTTCCAGTTTTTATTGGGACTTTCATTAATTTCATCTCTCTCAATGCGTTTGACAAAGTTTCATGGCACTATGGTCCATGCTTTTCCCCAAAAAGTGCTGAATAAGCATTTTTTCGCAAAAATTTACCCCGTGTTATTCAAATATGTGCATAAATTAGAGAAATTTATTGATTATTTTTCTAAATCACAAAAATTGATTCTAGGCAAAATGTGCTATCCAGATATAGCTCAATCAGCTCTGTAATACCTCCCCAGCTCAAACTAGACATCTCCCAACACATCCGTCATAGGCTCCAACCAGGAGTCAACTTTTTGTTACTTTGGTCATATTTCTCCACTGTTTCCATGATTTTTATTGGAATTTTCACAAATTTTGCTCTAGAAGGCTAAATCATTGGCAATGACCTAACCCTAACCCCAACAACATCTCTAACCCTAACTATAGCCTAACCCTAAGCCAGAGCCTAACTCTAACCCTTAACCTGAACACCAACACTACCCCTAACCCTAACTATAGCCTAACCCTAACCCTAAGCCAGAGCCAAACCCTAACCCCTAACCCTAACCCCAACACTATTCCTAACCCTAACTACAGCCTAACCCTAAGCCAGAGTCTAACCCTAACCCCTTACCCCAACATTACCCCTAACCCTAACTATAGCCTAACCCTAAGCCAGAGCCTAACCCTAACCCCTAACTCTAACCTCAACACTACCCCTAACCCTAACTATAGCCTAACCCTAAGCTAGAGCCTAAGCCTAACCCCAACACTACCCCTAACCCTAACTATAGCCTTACCCTAAGCCAGGGCCTAACCCTAGCCCCAACACTACCCTTAGCCCTAACTAAAGCCTTACCCTAAGCCCAAGCCTAACCCTAACCCCTAATCCTAACCTTGACTTAACCCTAAGTAATCAAATACAGTGTTCAGAATGATCATTTATCAATTGGGAGACCTATAATTGGAAATGTGTGTTGTTTTGGTTTTCTTTGATGAATATTCCCCAGGGTAGAACAACAAATGGAGAAAATGACCAATTTTTCTGTATCCTCCATACTAAATATTTCTCTGTAAACATTCAGAAGCAATAATAATGATTACAATTAGTTTATGTAATTGATAACACATGAATTGTTCTATCATTTGACAAAGTTTAATGTCACGATGGTCTGTACTATTTCCCAAAAGTGTCGAATAAGCATTTTTTCGCCAAAATCTACCCCGTGTTATTAAATATGCGCATAAATAAGAGATATTAATTGCCTATTTCTTTAAATTACAAAAATTGATTCTAGGCAAAATGTGCTTTCCAGATATAGCTCATTCAGCTCTGTACTACCTCCCCATCTCAAACTAGACACCTCCCAACACATCTAGCCATAGGTTCCAATTTTAGTCAATATCCCAGGAAAACATCTAATTGCAGAAAGGGGATGGGTAACTTTAACTATTCATATATCTGGAAAAAATAGTCGAATCTGCTTGCGGTTTGTATTATTTTACTAGAAAACAACTTGGGGTTACATTTTGGAGGAAATTACAATTGTAACTTAAAGGATGGGTCACTACTAGGAGACACACAACCATTAGATCCTTCCGCCGAGTGGGAAGACGAATAGATGGCATTATAAAAACAAAAATATAGTCCAATTATTGTAATTACATTAGCATCACCAGTGGTTGGATTTTGGTAAGTACATGAATGAAAAAGTGTATGTGTGGACCAACTCTGAGACATGATTTGATGTGATTAAGGTGCATTTTCTTTTAAAAATTTGACCTTTTTGACCTGCCTCCATCTGTCAAAATCAGAATGACATTTTTTGACATTTTCTATAGATGGCGTCTTCAACAGGTGAGATCTTTTGATTTTCGTGGGGAGTTTTGATTCAAACTTTTTTGACTGACAGAGGACATACTGGGGTATGATGCAATGATAGCAAAACATGTCCACAAATCTTAGTTTTCTCTTGAAGACAGATTGTTTGTATGGGAATACGCATGTTATAACAATTAGTTGGGTTAACCCTATTATCGCCCATTCTGGAGTACCACTTTTTTTTAATTTGGTCATATTTCTCAACTATTTCCAGTTTTTATTGGGACTTTCATTAATTTCATCTCTCTCAATGCGTTTGACAAAGTTTCATGGCACTATGGTCCATGCTTTTCCCCAAAAAGTGCTGAATAAGCATTTTTTCGCAAAAATTTACCCCGTGTTATTCAAATATGTGCATAAATTAGAGAAATTTATTGATTATTTTTCTAAATCACAAA